CAAAGTGGTCCGGTGTTTTTACAGTATGCCCCTAAATTATGTTAAAAATATAAAGCTATTCTATCAGAAATTCAGATGCATGAATTGGAAACTAACTGGATTAATTTCAATTCTTGCAGAATGAAAACTTAACATCCTACAAATTGAAAAAAGAGAGACATGAAGTGTATTTCCGTGGCCAAAAATATTCATTTTTAACCCATATGAAAGGGGTCACTGTTCATTCTGACACCTTTGTATTTTACTAACTCCGTACTGCAAGTATTGTACAAAAGTTTAATTTATATAATGAAAATAAATTATACTCAACTCTGTCATTTATGGTAATGGAGAAAACAATAACTTCCCTCATGAATCGAATAAAGATGTACCTGTTAAATATTTAAAAAAATATACAGTAGAACTTGGTTATAACGTCATCAAAGGGACCTAAAAATAGTGTCGTTATAAACGAATGTCGTTGTAACCGAAATGGGTACTTCCACAGTAGCCTTATGTTAGTCACATAAAATCTACCAAAAATTGAGTTAAAATGTTGCATGTTTTAGTGAAATACGTAGTTAAGTACAGACTAACGTAACATTAACGTGGAATTGCCCAAATGTGTAATATCAAAGACATATTACAGCGCTTTTCACTGACAATACACACCGCACTAATACTGTATATTAAAGGTAGGCCTACTCACCAAATTACAGTAGATTACATCAATTGTTGTGCCTTACTGTACCTAGATACGAGTACAGTAATCAGTTATCTTCATCTGTTTCCTGTTACTTGCCCAATACACACTTTCTAAATTACGTTCAATGTCCATATCAGAGAAATTCAGGAATGAAAATGACGTTACATACGAGGTTGATGCATTTGTGCATGTCGTACTAAGCAAGGTATAAAAACAGTTGCTTTATGAGGAATTAGTTCGTACCATTGAATATTTGACGCAATAGACAAGGTGTCGCAGAAACCGATGTTGCTATAACCAAGTTTTACTATATATGAAGTCATAAATATGAGTTTAAAACAATAATTGACCAAACCTTGACATACCACTAAGGTTATTAGCCATAAGTTGCCATTTAATCTTCTCCATGATACGAAAGAGATATTTCGTCCATTTTGTTCTGAATATATTTGGTGTTATAAAAGCTAAGTTGAAGATATCTCTCCGCAATTTCCCAGGTTTCTCAACAACATGTAAACAAAACAACAGAAGCATAGTTTTTTTACTAAATATTGATCATGGAAAAGGTTAACCGATTAATTAAAATAAATTACTGAATATTATTTAATTATAAATGAAACGTTTCCTACCATTCGACACATTTAAACTGTTCATCGTGTTTCATTGGTTGTACACAGAACACATGCTGGGGACTTCCCCTGTAGCAAACTTCATTAGGAAATTGATTTTCGAAAACTTCAACACTGATTGAACCAAATTTGCTAACAGAATAAGCACTCTATTACAGTTACTACTACTAAAACTTTAAATTCCACACTGTAATTCACATATAAAAATTTAAATTATTTTGATTAATATTTTTATTAAGATAAATTTTCAGCTTTTGTTTTAAACGGATAGGTAAAGTTTAACATACTGAACACTGTACACACAATCATATTCACACACGGATATCGCCTTTGATACAATACAAGCTGTTGTCATGTTAATTTTATATAAACCTGTAAAATTTGCTTTATGATATATTAATATTCAAAATAAAATTATTCTGTTGCATCGTTTTTATTCAACACATACACACGCTACGTGACAGAATCACAGGAGTGTGCCTCAGCGTTCATTCTTGTGTCTTCAATGCTGTAAACATTGTGGATAAAAACACTATAATGCTGACAAATAGGGCAGAAAGACATTGCACTGTTTGCACGCTTCAGAACTATGAAACATAGCTTCTTGTTTCTGTAAGGACATAGAGTGAACATTGGAAGCAAGCACTTGGTTCCTGATTACATTGCTTTACGATACCCCTTAACACCAGTGACTGTAGCAATTATTACTACTTAAATGCTTTTTATGGCGTGGTTTTGTAACAAAATGCAGTTGCTTCCGCGTAAGTAAAGCGTATCCTGCTATATTAGTTTGTATTTCAGCTTCCTTCATGACTTTCAGTTTAATAACAGTGTAACTTCGGCTGAACCATAACACATTATTCTAGCTTGACAGTCGGCTCGTACCATTTCCAGTGTTCTCACACACGCGGGATACGTAAGACAAGTGAACTAATGTTATCTTTACGCAAAAATACAAAATTGCATATAATTGGAAGTAACTTTTGGGGGGGTTAAGAATATTCAGAATATCTTAAATTATGAAAATTGTATGAATATTTCAAAATAATTGGCACTAAAGCAGCGGTTATAATAATGTGGTCCGCGGAAACCTAAGGGCTTGCGAGCCTTAACCAGGGGTCCGGCGAAATGATGTTTGTCTTCCTACTATAAGTCAGAAATAAGAAGTCATGTACTGAATATTTCTAATATTTTATATCTGTCTGTAATAATGGTATAAAAATATTCTGGACCCGAAACTGTGCATGGATGCCTAAGCTAGATGTTAAGTGTACAAGCCCGAATCGTATGATGCAACCCCATATTTTCCAACGAGAAAATCAGAAAATAATTTTTTTACAAAATTGAGTGCATCATTTATTTCTGGGTGTTTTATGTGAAAGGAGGAGTGTTATTTTTTCTCAAGGCCGAAAATGAGGCTACGCCTCTCTACTAAGAAGCGCTGTTTGAAAAAAAACTCACCTCATGTTCGAGCTAATAATGTATGCATTGGAGACGAGGCCATTTTTGTGGTCAAACTACAGAGGCAAAATACGAGTAATATATTAAAAAAAAATCCGTGATTTTAGCCCGCAAGAGAACTATACCGATCGAGCGACTGCCGCTTGTCAGCGAAGTTAGTGCTAACTTTTAGGGGATGGAGGGTGTCGCGTGGTCAGCGTAACGAATCCCCACGGGCATTAATTTCGGTTTTCTAGCCCGGTGCATCTATTTCCTTGAAATAGCTCCTCAATTATCCTCACGAGGTTGAGTGAGCCCCGTTCTAAACCCACTACTTCTCAGAAAATCTGGTAGCGCCGGGAATCTAACCCGCAACTCTAGATCTGTAGCCAGAAACTCTGACCACTAGACCACAGAGGCGGTGAAATAATACAGAGTGTGCAAAAAATGTACTCACTCGGGCGTCGGGTCACGCATTGAAGAGATGCTTGGTGATGAAGATGTTTACTTCCAACGAGATGGAGCACCTCCACACTACCGTCGTGAAGTAAGGGCCTACCTCGATACAACTTTGCCGGACAAATGGATTGGGCGAAGAGGTAGCATTGAACCTGCGCGTTCACCGGACCTCACATCTATGGATTTCTTTTTATGAGGATACCCCAATGATAAGGCTTATGCCGCAAAACCAGCAAACAGTCCATGAGTTGAAAGAGGGAACTGAAAGACAGTGTCTTCAAATTCCAAATGAACTGCTTCGTACAGTTTGCGGTTCCATTGCTCCGAGCTATCAGCTCTGTCTGGATAATGAATGTCATCAGTTTGAACATTTGCGAACAAGCATGGTGCGGTAGACTTGTTTTCTTCAATTTAAATCATTAACCTTATATCTATTTTAAAGAACACTGCGTTTGGTATCATTAAAATGGTGAGTATATTTTTTGGGACACCCTGTATATTATAGTAGATATTAAACGTTTTGTAATCACGGTACAAGCATTAAAATATTTTAAATAGTTTATTTTATTTGCATATGTTTTAAATTGTATGCTGATTATTTAATGTGGGCAGATTATGGGGTCCTAGATTGAGAAATGTGTTACTAGGGGTTCCGCGGACCCTCAAAGTTTGAGAAATACTGCACTAAACTATTTAAGTCTGCGACAAATTCTCGAAAGATCAGCTGCATGAATCTGCAGGAAAGCGCAACGTTCCGGAAACTGCATCTGTCCCAGTCGTCAGGGGAACAACAGAACAGAGACATTTTCAGAAACATTAAATGTCTGATGCACGCTGACATGGCCGATCCCCCGAAAATATTTTATCACCACTGACCTAACTGCACAAAAGGAATATTCTGAACTAGCAACTGAAGTTGATTTAACTTGCAAAGATCACCTCACAGGAGCAATGCCACTTCTTCACCATACACAAACACAGGAAACACGTTTTATTAACACGATTAGCCACTTACGAACTCAGTGCAGTGTGCATGGCTGTACACTTAGCCGAACAGAACAGTTTTCTGAATTCCCTTATGATGACTTCGTCATCACCTACTGCCTACCTATCAGCTTGCTGTCTAAACAGAGTTAAGTGTCGGAATGGCGAGACAAATGAAGAACATGATCACGCCCTTCTGGCATAGGCTCTAGTGAATGCTATAGGTTTATTTGAAATAACTTAGTAGTTCATTCAGTATAAAAACTAACCAATATTCAGCATCATTGGCTTGTTCTTATTCTATATTTTAGATATGAATTAACCGAAGAGCATTCGAAAAAAGTAGCTCTGTTATTTCTCGTGCTAATATCAATGAAGGAAGGGACTTTGGAAACAAAAAATGGGGCTAGTCTCCAATGGCACTGCCTTTCTACTGAGAGTAATAGGAGTTGATCACAGATAAATGTTGCCAGTTTCTCTGGGACAGCGAATGTGTATCCTTGTTTCTTTACACTGTCTTCTCTAGTTTGAAGTCTTAAGATAGGCTGATCTCCCGTTTAATTAGTCACACCGAATATATAACAGATTAAGTAAATATAAACCTCTATGCAGCGCTAATTGAACGCAGTAGTGTTGGTGATGAGAATTTTTACTTTTACCAAATAAGTTGTATATAACAGAATGAAGATATCTTTTGATATTTTACCTGAATTACAGTAAAGAAACATTTGAAGGGAATATTTTCTCTACATTAGAAGTTTTTGCATCATATATATATATATATATATGAAATTACCCATGAAGTAAAGCAATATAAAATGGCGGCTTGACACTGAAGGGATTAAAGCTGCCACTTCTAGGGTTAAAATACTAAAAGAGGATCGACAAGGAAAACAGAGAAAGAAAGGAAGACAAGAAGGAAAGACAGCAGTATGTGTCTGCCCAAAGGCTGTAACCACTGTCCCTATGAACACAGACATAAGCAACAAATCGCCAGTTATGAGCCCAAAATAGTGGTAAGTTTTCCTCCGTTGTAACCCATGAATAGGATTCGTGTTGCATTCGGGTTCTCATGGTAATAACTGTGGGAAGAAAACGTTCGTTTGGGCTGCGACGCCATGTAATTCGGAGAGAGCCACGACATTTCGGAGGAAGATATCTCGTCCACCCTCCTTCAGCTTGTTCTAGTTTCATTCTTAGCTGACTCCCACGCTCTGAAGGTGGAAGCCGTATGTTCCTCCAGAACGTGGGACTTTCTCCAAACTAAACGGTGCTACAACTCAGAAGACCACAGGTGCAGTTTGAGACACTTCCTTTTCAAACACCTCAAGATTATGCGAAATAATAGTCACAGCTTTGTTACACGCCGTTATCAGAGCCCTCAGAATCGGCTGATTAAATTCGCGTTTCTGTGGTCTGTTGTCTGCGATGGTAGACGCCTTTCGAGGGGCCCAACCACTGTTCAGAATAGCTTACTGAAATGTATACAGAGCTCATTGCCTCAGGGGACCTAATCCGTGCGGCAGAATGGGAAAAGTGTATTCTCAGAATTAATGCGCGACCTGTACGATGCAACCAGCACTCCTTTCAGCCTTGGAACGATTTCTGCATGTACTCGTATGTGAAAAACAAAGAGGGTTATGAGCCGCTTATTGTATAACACATCTATATTCGCCATCTACAGGGATCGCAAATCCAGGATTAGCCCCTGCTCGACCTCTTCGCCTACCCCTTACCAACCCCCTAAGGCTCCCAAACACACGACCACCACCCAAGCCCCCAGAACCACCACCATCCCCAACAATACCACTTCCTAACGAAGTTTTAGTGCGCATGATCATGAGATCTGTTCTAATACTCGGGCGTCTAACATTTGGGGCGACGACGCCGCAAGCGTCGCTGAGACGTCGCTTGATGGAGATCGTGCACTTCTTGGAGCGATGACTTGGTGTTGGAGGGGGAAGTGTGTAAGGGCTGCCAAAGTTGGGGTGCAGACGCTTGTGGTGGTTCGGCGCCATCTCCAACGGAAGGCCGGCTACTACGAAGAGTTCATAGAAAAGGTCATCGACCCTTATGTTGCGTTTGGCGGACGCCTCGACGAAGACGCAGCAGTCGTCCTGCGTCTCGACGTATGACGACGCTTCATCTGGAGAAACAGTCCTGCGGAACAGAGAAAGCAAATAGGCTACATGATGGTTACTTGCGGTTCCACAGAGAATTGTTGGTCATATTATGGCGTGGAGGGCATAAACACGTAACGTGTTCATTGCTTATTGATCACATCTCTTTCCACGATACATAATCTCTGCGTCGCTTTACTACATAATCTCATTCCACGGTACATGATATGTGCTTCGCTGTACTAAAAACGTAAAACAATCTCTGTAACAGGCCGTGAAGACCCATAGGGTTGTGAGACGTCAAGGCTCTCAAATAATCTAATAATCAATCATCTTAAGCAAATTACCTACTCACACAAGAACACGAAATTTGCATTACATGGGAAATGGGATAATTGGACCAGCAAAGAGACTGGATACTTGCTGGAGAATTGGGTTTCGGTTCCTGGCAGAAACAGCGTCTGAATCGGTTACTACGAGTTTGGTAACCCTCGCATAGGGGGCTGGAACCCACCGAGCCTCCTGTCCGAAGGGTACTGAGGTGCTACCCTCTGGGTTACAACGGGCAGAGAGTGAAGCTGCTGATTCAGGCCCGTTTAGTGCAGAACTTATACGTTCTTCCCTCCGCGCCACACGTTCTCATGGCATCATACATCTTTATTGCAAACTTATACAAACCGTAAATTATTAATATCTTACATATATACAAAGTTTTATGCTTAGGAGTACACTTAAAATTTTACTTATACAAATTGTTTCCTGATTTTTACATACACTGTTTTAATTACATGCGACTTACAGAACTACACGGTCCCGCAACGTAGTATATAAATTGAAAATTTATCTCGTGAAAGCCTTCTATCTTATGTTTAAGTAGGCCTGAATATTTCCACGCTGAAAGATACTCAGAATCTTACAATGTATTTTCTAGACACCGGCCCCACTCCTTCAGAAAGGGAACTGTCAGCATCATAGCTTTTGGACCATCTATATCCAGCTACAAGTATGAAGAGACATTTCATAAGGTGAAAGGTAAAGTTACCTCTGCAAGCAAATAAACTCGACTCCATGAAATACAAGGTGCGACGATTTAATTCCCGGAATGGTCCTGTGAAAGCAAAAATTGCTCCCTTATGCACTAGCCGCTGCTGTCGCCTTCGAAATACCCTCCTTGTGAAGCTATGCACTTCGTGAGACGATGGTGCCACTGTCCGAAACAGTCTTGAAAATCGTTTACCAGAATACCTCGCAGTAACGCTGTCACGTTGCGTTGGATGTCAGGCATGTCAGCAAATTTTTGTCCCTTCAGGATATTTTTTTAATTTTCGAACGAGCCAAATATCGCAGGGGGTTAAGTCAGATGAATATGGTGGATGGTCCATTTTTGTAATGGATTTCTTAGCCAGGAACTTGCTAAATCCTAACACATCATGCATAGGGGCATTGCCATGTTGGAGAATCCACTTATCAGGCCAGATTTCTGGTCTTTTCTTCCATACAGGTTCCCGTAACCTTATTGGTATAAGTAATCAGATAAGTCATGACTTACGCCTGGGAATTAGCAGTAGACATCTGCAAGTTAAAATGCAGCGCCTACAAACAAGCTTCTGCGCATCATTGGAAATTTTCCAAGGTGCACACCGTTCCGTGATTTGCATAAGGCTTCAAACCTTCCGTATAAATACGATTAAATAACAAAATTGTGCAGGCAGCAACAAAAGTCATACACAACCAAGAGAATGAACATTTTAGCGGTATAGAACAATTCGAAACCAGACGTAGAAAAATAAGAGGCTTAAACTTGGCGGCGGTCATGCTTACGACCGTTCAAGTGACTAAGCTTCCGTTGTAGCGTAAGATAAATAAGCTAGACATGATCTATTTTGCAAAGCCTATATTGACAGAAAACTTTTATATAGTGAACAAGGAAGAATTTTCTATAACATGCCATATGTGCGATACATACACTTAAAGAAAAGCCAAGCGTATTCATAAGAGACAAACTCATCCTCTCTTCAGAAAGTATGTTACGTATGGAAGGTGACTGCAATGATTCAGTTGCAAAAAAGAATACACACACACATATATGGTCGTGAGCTCGAGGGGCTTGGCGCCAGGACGAAATGATTGCCCGTAAACCGCCAGTTGTAAAGTGACTTTAACTCTGATTGTCTAGACACTAACGAGTGACGGTAAACTATTTTATTTCACTGCCAATACGGAACACCATTACGGCGGCCATATGTTCAACGAGACACCGCGAACCGAGCGCATTTACATGAACTGTGACGCAAGTGGCATGTTCTCTGTGTCTACAATATCTCTCTGGTTGCTTCAACATCAGATAGTGACGATTAGAAAGTTAGTGGATTCTACTTGCAACAGACGGTAGGAATGAAAATCACCTTACCGAGCATGTCGAGCACACAGGTCATTCCTTCCTCACGGTTTGCTACCCGCGTTGTGACACACCTTCGTAGATGTCTTATGCAGGAAGTACCGTATTTACGCATGTACAGGCCGCACATTTTTTGCCAAAAATTCAAGAGGAAAACTGGGGTGCGGCTTATATTCGAAATATTCGAACTCACACTTCATTTAAAAAAAAATTAACGTTGCCAAATTTCGGAATAATTTCTACTCCTGAAATAATATTCCAAGAAAATTATTTTTTCTATAATTTCTGTCTGAAAATTGTGCTGCGGCCTATACACGCACGCGGCCTATACATGCGTAAATACGGTATATAGGGTTGGTTTTAACAACAGACAAGGACCAGCTCTGCTATTGTGTATTATTTTCTATTTTTTAATTCAAGAATAATCATCGAATAATACCACAAAATGCCGGTCACGTTAGCCGAGCGGTCTAAGGCATGCACGGTCTTCGCTCACTCGGAAGCCGGGATCGTGGGTTCGAATTTTTCTCATGGCATGGATGTTTGGTGTTATGTATGTGTGTGCGTTTTTCTGTGTTTATGTAGAGGTAGAGGCCTTGCGACGAGCTGATCACCCTCCCAAAGAGTCCTACCGAATGTCTAAGATCTAGTAAACCTAAGTAAAACGGAGAGTTTCATGGAGGTAGGCCAAGGCCAGAAATGGGGTGCAGCGCCAAAGAAAAAAAAACATCAACTAGGCAACGATCTTTTCATCTTGATACTTTTCAATTAACTCTTCCGCTTTTCTTCTCTACAGCTCGATTATAGTAACCTGAGTTCTTGGGAGTGCATAGCGAAGCAACGTAAGCTTACGAGTATAGCACTCATAAGACGGAGTACTATTATTGCTATCGAGGTTTCTGCTTGAAGTTAAATGTTTCTGTTAAGACACAACCACAGAAGAATTTATCGGAATAATTATTTTGATGTAGTGATAAACTTTTAAAGTGGTCGCGCCATAGCTCAAGCGGTTAGTCACTGGCTTCCCATTGCGGCGGCCCGGGTTCGATCCCTAGTTTGGTCAAGTGGGATTTGTGGTGGACAAAGTGGCGCTGGGCTAGGTTTTCTCAGAGTACTTCGGTTTCCCTTGCCAATCTTCATTCCACCAATTGCTCCACAATCACCCTCACTTATCATCTGGGGCTGGTACAATAGGCCAGAAGTGGCCGCAGTACAAGGGGCTTAGTCCCACCCCACTACCAATAAAAAAAATTTAAAGTGAATAACTTTCAATAATTTTTACAGAACATGGTGTTGCACATCAGAGTGTAAAAAACTAACCGACATTCTGTCATAAATGCAACGGGATGCTACAGTAAAAATTATTTTGAAATTTTACTGGAGATGAGCATGAAGATTTGAAAAAATTATAGCTTTTTAATTTGTACCACCTACTGATTGTCCGGTGAAAGCCGGGATAGCTCGGTCGGTATAGCGATTGGCTACGAGCTGGACGACCGAGGAGTCGGAGTTAGAGTCTCGGTGGGGCAAGAACATTCACTTCTCCATGTAGTTCATACCGTCTCTGAAGCCCACCCAGCCTCCTATCCAATGGGTACTGGGAGTTCTTTCCCCGGGGGTAAAGCGGTAGGGGCGTGAAGCTGACCACTCACCTCCAACTAGTGCCGAGGCCAAGAAAGCGTGGGTGCATACATCCACTCCCTTATACGCCATCATGACGTAGTGCTTAATTAATTAAGCACAGGGACAACTTTACCCTTTTCACTGAGTGCCGTGTGAGGACTTTATTACTGACAAAGAAAGAGGCATAGCTGTGGAACAAGGATGAAAACAGTCACAAATTCTGGCCGAACGAAGTTTTAAGCGAAAGTAAAGTGAACTCTGCCAGTCTGGTTGGAAGGGCGCCATGTTGTTTACTGAGAAATAGATGGGAAACTTATCGTTTGAATAGATTAAGTGTGATTCAATTTAGATTGGAATAATTAACTCGAAGAAGTTTGCAACTGACATTCATGGACTTTTCATCATGGAGGAAGTGTATAATTAATGAGTACCAATCTTCATAGTCAGCTCTGTGGAAACCTCAAATGCAACAAGTGTATAATTGTTTTCATTGGTATATGCATTTACTTTATTTACTTTCTCCAGAAGAATTCAGAGAAAGTGTTCAAAATACTCATCATTGCTTTCTGCATAGACAAAACTGACGCTGATTAATCCTAGATGTTTTTTTTTTGGATGATTATAAATAACCGTGAACTTTATTTACAATTATCGATAATTTTAAATTAAAAAATATTATATTTCGATATTACTGGAACATTATCATGATCTGTAATACCGTATTCATTATCTGGGAGGTGCAATATGGTGTTTACATGGAAATTTCTTGATTCTGGCAGGGCCAAGGAGTCTGGAGTTCTGATATTTGCGAGTAGATTAATTTAGCTCGAGTACAGGAAACTAGACCCGCCTACAAAAGTCAGTGAAAAAAAAACAGGTCAAAACTCGTTATAATTGCCTGTGATAAAGGTATTTTAGGCCGGTCACGGTAGCCGAACGGTCTAAGGCATGCACTGTCTTCGCTCGCTCGGAAGCTGGGATCGTGGGTTCGAATCCCAATCAGGGCATGGATGTTTATG